TTTTAAGAGCTGTAAGAGCCCCCAATAAATGATCTTTAAGAAAAAAAAATGAGGAGCCTGGGTGGCATAGTGGTTGTGCATCAGGCTGTGAATCACAAGGTCAGCAGTTTGAAACCATCAGCTGCTCCTTGAGAGAAAATGATAAAATCTCAAAGACCCCTGTACATCTGATAGCCAGGGATGCAATGAAGACCACTCAGTGATGATGAAATTACTGAACACCCTTGGAAAAAAAAAAAAATGAGTTACTGTCTCTGAAACTCACACTGGCATTTCTGCCTTGTCCCACAGAGTGGCTGAGTTGGCCTAGTCTGTGTGGCAGTGAGTGAGTAAGTAATCAGCATGAAGCCATAATCGTGTCCAAAGGCTTCACAGCCAAAAGGCTGAAGTTAGATCATAGAAAAACAAGGAAACCATCACAATCGAGATTGGTGGAAGATCGACTCATCCCTCTCTGGTGTACGGTTGAGAGCAAGGAATCACCATTGGTACATGTACACAGTAGCAGCTTAGCAAAGCCCTCCAGCCAACTGGTCACTTGATGGTGGGGGTATAACTCGTGACCTTGTGACCCTGGTACCCCAGTTTCTGTTACAGAACTGTCTAGACAGGTCCCTTGTGGGTAAGACTGCCCTTCCTCCCTTGGCTGGTTGAGGAATTGCAATATACTTTTTAAAAAACAGATTTATTGGGACATAATCCACATATCATAATTCAACAGTCCAATCTTATTGAGAAGAGTTGTACAATCATTAACACAATCAATTTTAGAACATTTTCTTCTTTCTTGAATTCCTTGTTATTAGCTCACCATTTCCCCCAACATCCCCTGCCAAGCAACTATAATCCAATTACTGTCTCTAGATTCACCCATCCTGGATTTCATATACTGAAAAGCATACAAAAACCAAGGAACAAAGAGGCTAACAACTTTTACATGCACCAGAAGGGAGGCAGTATACTTTCAGACACACTCAGCTTGAGGGCCCACAGCCTTTTACTTTGCCCGCTGATGGAAGTTGGATTCAGGTCGGGTTACAAATGGTGGTAAAGCTCGAGTACTTGAAATTTAAACTTTTAGAACAGGAATACAAGGAAAGCAGACTCAGAGCCCGGGGGGGGGTTTCAATTGACAGGATTTATTCAAGTTAATTACCTGCCCGGGTGTTTAGAATGGAATGAGAGTAAAGGGGGCAGTGTGGGGGAGATGGAAAGACAGAGTAGAGAGAGAATAGCCGAAAGGGAGAACTAGAGAGGAAGGGACAGAGGGACGGATGCGCGCTCACAGGAGAAGGTGAAGAAAGTCCGAGAGAGCTCGAACAGAGGAATCCTGTGTTAATAAACATTTAGGACAGAAATAAATGATCATGTCTAAAAGGAGCCTGCACTTCCCTCTGATTGGCTGTGGCGGAAGGTTTCTCTGGGATGCCTGAGAAGGTGAGGGTGTCACGTTATGCTTGGTGGGGACAGAGGGGGTTAGAGACGCTGGTATAGCTGAGAACCGTAGTGTCACTGATGAACCCTTTAAAGCTCTAATACACTTGTTTCAAGTTTTGCAAGACCTCTATATCTTCTCACTTTTTATGAGGGATGCCAGGAAATAAATTTAGGAGGAAATATTCAAACGAAAGTTAGTTCCCCTTACTGTATTTATGTGGGTACATAATTTAACTTGCCTCTTTAGATAACAAATGAAAACAATACTCTTCACAAGAATGAAGACCATTGTAAACTTTAGGAAGTGAGGGTTTTAGACACTGCTCTGTGCAGTGTCTAGCATAATTAGGCTCTCAAAGTCACATTGTCTGAAGGAATAAATGAATAAATTAAACTAAGATATTCAGAATCGCAAGATAGTTCTAAAAAATCTTTCATGTCTCTTAAGTACTTCACCTTTTTATTCCTACATTAATTCACATTTAACCATATGCTACAAGTGCAGCATCTCTCACTAATACCATAAACCTTGTTTCCCAAAGTGGGTGATACTGCCCTGGGGCGGGGCTGTGGGGAGTGTTTCACTGAACTATCCAGAAGGCTGCAGAAGCTAACACCTACAGTTTATCCTGGATTGTGGGCTATAGTACAGAAGTTTTTAATTGCCTGAGGGGCACTGAGTAATTTTTCTGAAAAGGGAGTGGTGGGCTAAATAAGTTTGGCAAACCTAGGCTATAGAGCAACAATGAATTTCTTGGCACTAATGCTTACCTATTAGATCAAGACTGGATGCAATGTGGACATTTAGTTCTCCATTATTGTATGACTTACCTGGGATTGTATCAATAGCTATCTAAGAATTGTACCTGGTAGCACACTAGATTCCATAACTTCCATGTAACTTAACTATTTTTAAAGTTTTATTGGCACATAGTACACAAGTTATACAATTTAGTAGTTCAATCATATTAAGAAGAGTTATACAGTCATCACAATCAATTTTATAACTTCTTTCTCATATTCATTGTCCACTTAACTTATGAATAACTAGTTGTTGTTGTTGGCGGGTTCCCCTATCATACCAAACAATTGCTAAAATGATGTTGTTGCATGCCATCTAGCCATACCATCTCATAGCTACCCGACAGGCCAAAATAGAACTACCCATAGGGTTTCCAAGGTTGTAATCTTTATGGTCGCTTAGAGTGACTCGTGGGTTCAAATAGCTGGCTTCTAGATTAACAGCCAAGCATTCAGCGACCACATGTTTTCTGCCTAACTATGTTTGACTAGTTGGCATCTATCATTTAAAATGTCTTATTCCTATGTAGTGGATAAAGTTTATATATATATATATATATATGATTTCATACTGTGTATTACAAAAATAAATAGCTTTTAAAAATCATTTTATT